TATTGTCTACTTTTTTTTTTACAGTCCACCATGACATGCAAACACGTTCAGAGGGAAATATTTCCTATAGTGAACAGTACAGTAGTATTGAACGATCTGTTGTCCACAGCGCGGGCTTGATAACGGTTGTTGTATAGTCTAGGATCTAGTCTTTATTATTTCGATCTCGGCCTAGCCTACCACAACCGACCGACCAACAGTGAAAGTGAAAGGCCTAGGCTAGTGATAAATCGAAAATCTTCTTATCTGAAAAGCACAATTTGTACCCCAAAATAGAACAACCAATGAGCGTGTGGCTGACGCTGGACATTTACTGCGAGTCTAGTTATCCAATCAATATCTTGTTGCGCGTGCGCATCTGAACTTCCGCGATCGCCCTACAGCACCCTTTTGTGTAAAAATATTCCGCTGGCCTACCTTCGGTGCCACCCACCTGAATAGCAAAGGAACTCTCTTCATTGATAGTCACCTTCCATACAATTTGCTGTTTTAATGCAAGCCAGTTCACATTTGGAGACTATTAATTCATTTTGTGTTGAGGTCTTGTAAAGTTGATATAGCAAACTATTTTCGATGCAATGTGAGCAATTTCGCAGTTACCACTAACGGAATGACCCGATTCGTACACATAACATGGAGACCAGCGGCTAATTTCCAGCGGTGATAGTACGTGAAGCATCTGTGTGGACATTTTCAACTCTTCACAGGTAAAGTAATATTCTGTTTGTTTGATCTCGTCCCTGTTAAAGTTTCGAAACCTAGCTGAATTTAAGTTCTTGTTTAGATAAGCTGCGGACCAGAGAAGGAACCGAGGAGTGGAACCAAAATGGCCGACGTATTCTTTCGTCCCGTATTCTTCAGTCTTTTGCCCAACACAACATTGTCTAGGCTAGATCCAGAAGCTGGAACGATTTGTTCATTCAATCCACATTTTAATCGTTGAAGCGACGTGGTGTAAATCTAGTCCATAATGCTAATTTAGACACGATGTGTTCAGGTCTCTATTGACCCAGCCCCCATCGTCCTCAAAGTCAGACTTGTTGAAGTTGTTGTTGTACATCAGTCACTTCAACAATAAAAGACTGAAAATAATAAAGTGGGCCACCTAGACTTGGAATAAATGCTTTTCTCAAAACAATGTCAATACTGTCGCTTCACACTCACAGAGACGGGTCTTTTATAAGAACCCAATATGGCCTATTTGTATCTCTATTGTAGTTGTAAAGTTAAGGCAGTGCATTGTCTGTGAATACTGTGTTGTGTTGATGACACATCCATCCATCATTTTCTTCATCATGAATCAACCTGGGGAAAACACAGTAAAATCAATGAATGAATTGTACTCATTTCATTGGCATTGGACCTATGAAAGGATAAACTGCAATGCTCACCCAGTTTGCTACTTTATGAGGTAGAGTTAGAGGCAAAATGAGTTGTCAAGTTAGGCTATTGATTTATAATAAAGCTGTACTAAAATTATGTTTCACTTCACACAAGTTCTTAGCCAGCTTAGTAAGAGTAGGGGCTGGCAATGGACAAGAATGGCCCTTGGAATATGAGTTTTAGTTGTGTTGGATTCAAGAATTTCCTGATTGATGGATATCATGTTGATTGATGCCACTCTCTTTTAGACTGGAAACTTTCCTAACAATTTTCTACACAGGATGCCTTGAATTATTTGAATGAGTGTATTCTTTCTTCCTGTGTGTGTAGTAAAGTGAGAACTCTTGTGTTTACTTTCGGTAAATTTTTACTTTCACTCCCGTGGCGTACACAGATGGTCTGGTTAGGGGGTAGATCACATATAAAGCCACTCAAACTGTCGCAAATCAATTAAAAAAAAAAAAAAATCAAACCTAACGGCAAAATATAAAATTACAGGTTAAAACAGGGGGCACCTGCCCCCTTGTAACCCCCCAGATTTTTTTTTTTTTTACCTAAGGGGGGCTGGCCCCCTGAACCCCCCCCGATTGACCCAGAGCGCGCAAATTAATAATAATATTTGCATTTGTATAGCGCATATCCATGCTCAAGAGCATGCTCTATGTGCTTTACAACCATTATTACCCCAGTAGACCCTCTGAGAACACTCTGAAACATTCTCGGCTTCCGCGGAATTATACAATGCAAGCTGCGGATTTCATGCACTCAAACTCAAACACTATCAAACTGACAAGATCTTTCACTGTCTATAGCCGGGTTCCCATTTCCACCTGGGTGAAGTGAGGAAAATGTGTGCAAAGTGCCTTTCCCAAGCCCAAGGACACCACGTCGGGCCCCTGACGGGATTCGAACCCACGACCTAACGGTTGCGAGTCCGAGGGCCTAACCAATTACTACACTACACGGTTAGGCTAAGTCTTAGTGTGATGTAGCTCGATTAAATACCATCAAAAATTTTTTTAAAATGTTAATTTGTGACAGAAATGAAGTTGGTATATATTCATGTTCAGTGTTGGCCCCCCCAATCAATAAAATCTAAGTAGAAAATGGACAACTGGTAGTTGTAGTGTGAGACGGGATGGAAAGTAAAAGATATACCTTACTTTCTTTTTTTCACTCTGTCCGTGACTTTGTTGGGTATTGTGGTTGTCATTATGTAGATCTAGTTTTTATAATACTCTGGCCTTAGTTTTGATAGAAGTTGGCAATTTGCTCCTTAGAGATGCTAGAGTTCACCTGGAATGTGAAGGCACTCTATTCCATTACTGCCGGTCGTTTGAACGTAAAAATTTTTTTTAAAGATACTTTTTTTTGTCACTTTGCACCTTCTTACTTTTTTTTTTCTTTCAGTAACACTGCTGTGTATGCTATAGGCCTACTCTATACTCATCTCCCATTTTTTGAATAGGTCTCTGTCTTTTTAAAATGTTATATGTGGTAGCTGCACTGCAATTTTTTTGTTCTTTGACAGCAAGTACTTTGTGGGTTTGTCAATGCTTGGACTTGGAGCTGGAATGCACTGCTGGTCATGCCCATTTGCTGTATTAAAATTTTTTTTTTGCTTTTTGTATTGTTATTGTTCAAAATGTAGGAACGAAAGAAAATCCAATTGATCTTGATGGGTACATAAACAACTTTTGATCCCTAGGTCTTTCTATATAAAAAAAAATCTAATCTTGTCTCTTTTCCTGCCATTGACAAATTGCATTTGTAGTTCTTGCCACCCCCCAAGAGATCATTGGAATTTTTCCTGTAGAAATAAGATTTTTGTGGCATTAACCACCACTAATCACGCTATGAATGGAATGAATACTTTCATTTAATATTGTATTTGTCCTCTTTATGATTTTGAATTTTCGCTTTTTGTTTTAATCTTTTTTTAAAACCTATATTATACTGGTTGATATTATGTGGTTTTCTCGCTAGTTTCAAATTGTCATCTGTATCTGAACTTTATCCTCCATAGAGCTACAGGTATTTATGTAGTTACATTTTGTCATTCTTTGCATCAAAATAATACAGTAGTCTCTGCCTAAGATCCTGGTGTTTGGGAGCAAGGAAAATGCGGGATCTTCAGAAAACAGGGTCTTAACTGAATCATCAGGAATAAGAATCCATGAAGGCTCGTAGTCAGACCCTCAAAATTGAAAATGATTTTTCCTTGATGATTATTTTGAAATGAACCAACGTGATGTCTCTGCATCAAGAAGTCTTCAACTGATAGCTTATGATTGATGTTTGTCATTTTCACATTCAATTGTGAGTTAGTTTTAGGTCAATCTCATCGCTCTTCCCCTTCATCTGTTCAAAATTTATAGCTTTTCATCAATGATCAAGTTCCCCCCTCATGTCGTAACACACCATTGTCACTCATTGTGTTCTGACATATCTATTAAAATTCAAAACCGAAAGGCAGGGTCACTGCCAACAGATGACCACATTACGCAAAGGTGATCAGACAGTTCCTTATTATTGGTGATAGTCTGTTGAGCAAAAATTCAGATGCGGAGCTGAAAGACAATTGCGATGGTCAGGGAAACAAAAGCACCAATGAGTTCTCAGTTTAAAATTTAATGTGATCCTGTTTGGTGTGGCCTTGTGGACCCTACCATCCCAGCTTATATTATGACGTAAGTTTAGATGGAGGGAAAATATGCCAGTGCGATATTTGAGGAGAACAAACAAATCGATGATTTTGCACCTCAGCACCTGGCTGATGCAAACTTTGTACCTACTCACTGAGCTTTACAGTGGAGATGTGATTGCCTTCATGAGAGTAGATGATCTGTCTCACAATGAGTTCAAATTTTTCTGCTTGGTTGATCAGCTGGGCTCGCCTGAGGTTTTGTTCAGTAAATTATGATCTTAAGTGTTGGATCTCAGTTAAATTTAGTTCCCTAAAAACACGATCTGACGGATCGTAAAAGTTCTGTTTACTGAACACAGCATGATCTTAAATGAACTGGGACTTTAAGCAGTGGGAGGGGGCTCTAGTGGCCTAGAGGTTTAAGGTGTTCGCCTCTCATTCAAAGGCCCTTGGTCCGAATCCGGTTAGCGACGGAAAAAAAATCTTCTCTAAGACTGTCTCCTTTCAACTTCTTTCCTTCTCTCTTGCAATATTCTTTCGTCTGCTTTCGTCTCCACTTTCTTACCCCACCCCTCACCTCGTTTTCCCCCTCCACTGGGCTCCTGACTCTTTCTGCAGCAGTTGCGAGCGCCGTAAAACCTCTACTAAAACTAAAACTCTTTCTGCAGCCTTTCTAATGCTACTCCTTGGTTCTTTCTTACTGCTGTCTTTCAGCCACACCCCTGATCTTCAGGTAGGAAAGATCTACGCCTAACCATCTCAGACAAGGGCGAAAAATCTCGAAGGTCCCTTGTGCAAGTTGTGCAAGTTAAAGATCCCTTGGTAGTCCAAAATCGATAAGAGTAGGCTTCAGCCACCACCCGGGCAAAATTCAAAATTTCCTACCAATTGAAAATGTTTGGTGTGTCCCGTGCGCTCATATCACCTTATGCCGTTGCAAGCGCTGTAAAACACTTCCCCCCCCCAAAAAAAAAGGAGTGGGATCTTAGGAGGAAACTACTGTACCTGGATGTGGAACGGTCTTGAATATACTTCCTGTTTGTTTTCCATTTGCTAAAATATTGAAATTTTAGATATCAGAAATAATTGTTGTTTGTTTTGTGAACGTTAGTTTACACATGGGTGCTTTGTTGTTTAAATCGTAAATTACGTCTAATATGAAAGGAATCCAGAAGAACTGTGAGACGACTTTGACGGTGTGCTCAAAATCAAAAGAAGTGCATAGCAATTACTTCTGAGGCCATCATGGAGAGGAAGGGGTAAGTTTTGGAAAGCCGTACAACTAAGGGCTTGTACCCAAAACCAAAGTGTATATTCTCAATGGCCTCCCTGTAATTTCTATTATCTTACATATGCAGCGCATGCTCTTAGTGCATGCATATAACCTTGTTTAATCCATTATATGCCTGATTTAGACGGTATACCTTTGTGATATAATATCGTTAATGTAATTTTTTACCGAATTTTAATAACCTGGATTTGGGTAAATTATTATATTCACTAACATTTTTGTAAACATTTGAGATTTTGTTAAACGGTATTTTGGCAAAATTGGAGGATTTTAACATTTCTTGTATATGTAATAAATGCCGTTGCATTTGCCCAATTCATAATATTGAAAGAGGGAAGAGGCGACAGAAGGTTGTATTCTGAATTTGAAGAAGGGAGTAAATTTGATAGATTATTGAAATCATAAATGGACTCAAGCTCGACTTAATTTTTTTTCTCAAGATTATCAAGCTCGACTTAATTTTTTTTCTCAAGATTAGGGTTTTTACAAAAAAATACTTTTTATTGTAATAATATAATATCAACCCGCTGTCACTGCTCCATAAGAACTGATTTCGAATGCTCAATTGGCTTGATAGGGTCACCTTTGGAAATCCGTTTTGAAATCGAAAATGTGAAACTTGACATTTTTTGTTGGTGTGTTGTATTTTAAAATCAAATTGTAGTTTATATCCTCTTTTTTGTGTGCTAACATGGAAGTGTTGAAAAGTGTCATCCAAATTATTGTGATTCTAAAGAAAAGACAAAAAATTATCTATAGGTCAGGATTGTAATTATTTTGGGAACACTGTCAACATTTAATAGAGTAGACAGGCATTTGTGGGTGGTTGGCGGGTGCTCTGGTGTGGTTTGCTTTTTCTTTCCTATCAAACATCTATCATCCTTATCTCCCCTTCTTCTTTTTTTTGTTAGTTACTCTCTTGTAACACCTCTAATCTTCTGGCGCTCATATGACCTTATGCCTTATGCAGTTGCGAGTGCCGTAAAACCTCTACTAAAAAAAAAAAAGACAGGCATTTTTCTAGGTAAGACATAGTAAAGCTTAGAAGATAATAGGTGTGTGCTACATTTACTTGGGTCTGACAAAATTTTGGGGATTGTCATGTACTTGGACTTGCCAGGAACTTACCATTACAGTTTGTATACCTAGAAATAAAACTTTTTTTCTGGGATTATATGTATATGCTTCTAAGACAACTTTAACCAAGTGATGAGAATTTGACATCATTCTCACTTTTGCCATGCCCAACTACACGGGGAATACTACTTGGGAGTTTACATTTGCATAATTGAGGCATTCCTGAAAGGTCGGCATGGCTAAAGTAACTCTTTTACACCATTGTATTCAAACTACTAAAAAAAACCCATTATAAAGTTCATCTTTGTCAGTTTATAAATAAACAATTGGTAGTGAATTGATAGGTCCTCTGTACTTAACTAAATGGACTTCAATGATTTTCGAAAGTGTTGGGTTTGCTTTTTATTTTATATCATAAACATATTTTTAAGGCTCAATTAGGATTACCAAACAAATTATGATGTATACACAAAGAAAGTTTCAAGTTGTAATTTTGATCAGCTTCATTAAATGAATGTAAATAGTAAATGTGCATATATGTGCAAGTCGAATTTTTATGTTATCATGAACCATGTTTCTGACAGGGAGGTTTTTATTAAAGTTTTTAAAAGCTCACCTTTTGTGATCACAAGAATGATATCCTTTTATTGTTTCAGTGTAACTATAATAATATTATGTGTATTCAAAGAAAATCTATTTTCGCTTTATGCTAAATTTCCATTTCCTTTAGAAAAAATCCACATATGCTACCAAGCTGTCTTGACCTTGGATTTTACTTCCTTATAAAATAAAAAAATTGGTGAATTTTCCTGTGGAAGTGTATCTAATTATCTTTTCAACTTCAAGAGAGAAAAAAACCCAACCTTTCAGTGTAGACTTGTTACATTATATAGTCAGAAAAGCATGCAAATTGATCATTTGAAAAGTTAGGTTGTTGCTGTTTCAAAGTCAGTGTTTTGAAAATGGTTAATTTGAAATTGTGAAGAAGCACAGTTCATTTTTTGGTTCATATTATGTATGTGTTAAGTTTCTACTTGTTATGTCCTATTGGACAATTGAACATTTTATATATATATAGCAGTCATTGCTTCTACTTTGATGGGTTGATCTTCCTTAACATTTTATCTTGTTTGTCACAGATGTGGAGTCGAGTTTGTTTTCATTTTGTTTATGTGTCATAATATACAATTGAATCGCATTTAATTTCTCTCTTCTTGACTTCTGAATTTCATGTATAGTGCATTAATCTTGATCCGTCATGATTTAACTTTAAAACAGACAAAAAACAAAAAAATTCTCTTCCAGGCTTTGTTCATTATGATTAGGTCAAAGGGATGTTTGTGTGTTCGGACTCTATTGAACTTTGAATTGCATCAGTAGTTTATTGCAGTGTTTATTGACCGTTGATATTTTTTGTGTTGTACAGATATTGTTGTATAAAAATTATAGCAGACCTCTCTATCTTACATCTTTAGGAGGAGGCTTGCAAAAGTGTATTGCTAAAAAGTACTACTGACTTTTCACTTTTCTTTTTAACGCTAATGTAGAAATAAATACTAGATTTATGCTTGAAATAAAAAGAAACATTTCATGGTGTTTCTTGAACAAAAGGAAATATGTGAAAATCAGTCTGTAGTGTGCTATCCCTCAGAAGTAGTTCCCTGGCTTTTGTTTCTCATGCCTTCCAATAGCCACATCTTTGCTGTATTTGCCTAGGGAAAGAGTTCCTTCAAAACCATTGTACATTGGAAAGGTCAGCTGTATTTCCCCTCAAGCAAGAGGAAGTATAAATAGTCCACCGACTCACCAAGAGTTGATGTTAGCCTCCAGATAGTTGGTCCTGCTAAAATATTTCTACTTTCTGAGAAAAATGGGATTGGTAGTACTGGTATCTCTGTTCAAACTTGTAACGTTAGTGCAACTTAGATATTCTAAAGATGGTGGATGGTTGGAGGGCGCCACTGGTAGATCTTTCTCTTTTTCTTTTCCTCTGTTCCTGTCTGTCTTGCTATTTGCCTGCACTAAATGACCAATAATTTTGCAGATGTGCTTCTCTTTCCTCAAACAAAAACTCAAAGATACAGCCTAGGTATTCTCAAGATAAATGGAGTTGCCATACATTTGGGTGCTCTGTAGGCAATGAGATTTGTCTTATATGTAAATTGTGTTTTGATGTTGATGAGCCATGTAACATTTTGCTCCCATTCATAATTCACCTTGCATGTTCGTTCATTACTAGGAATGTCGAGCAGGAAGCAAAGTGTTGAGATTCCAGCATGTTACAGTACATGTTTTTGGGTGATTTATTTAATTAGATTAAAAATATTTTTTCCCCGTATTTCTGGTGGTTGGACTTCCGTTATAATAATGATTTATTACACAAGTACATGATTATCATGATACTTTAACTTTAAGAGCAGAGGAGTGGTTGATCTTTTGAGATACAAATTCAAGCTCTCCTTCACTGTCATCCACAATATCTGTACTTCTGTTTGTATTGCATGTGCCGTAAAACTTTTACTTTTAACCAAACTATACTAAACTTAACTATCCAACTTGATTCATGCTTCCTGCTGTTATTGTTGTAATGGAAACCACTTTCTGTTATTGTGTGGTTCAGGGCAGACTGTATAAAAGGAGATATGGATATCAAGATGGTGATGTTCATGAGCAAGGTTTGGAGCATTTGGACAAAAAAAAGAAAGGTGCAAAGAGGATTCGTTCCAGAGTGCACTTGTTCTATATAGTTTATTTTAAGTGATGTAAAATTACTGATTTAGTGGAAACAGTGCATCTCCATGGCATCCTCAACTCCCCCACCCACTACCCTCCACCCCCAACCTCCACTAAATGATGTGCATGTTTTTCATGTGGACACTGCCACACTCTCGTTATTTTGTTGTTGTTGTTATTGTTGCTGCTGTATTCCCTTCATTCTTCGTCCATTGCCACCTTCCTTGTAACACTGATTTTCCTATATTGTATCAATTGTTTTTTTTACCCACTTTCCCTTTTTCTCCTCAGCACTTTCCTTGTCTTCCTGCTTTTTTTCTGTTTCCTCTTGGCCTCTTCAATTTCCTTCTCCTTACTCTCCCCCTCCCCCACTCAGTTTTTGTTTCTTTACTTCTCCCTACCCTTTTCCTTTCTTCTTTTCTACTTTTAATTATATTTCAGTCGTTTAGTTTCTTTCCAGCACTACCTTTTTTTTTCTTTTCCCGATTCTTTGCCACCTTACTGTCAGTTTCCTCGTTCTTTCCCATCTTGACTTTACTTGTCCTTTTCTTCTCCACTTTGTACTTGTTCATCTTTTGTCGTCAAAGTAATATTGAAGATTTACTCACTAGTATTAGTATACCACCACCAATCAACTACTACTGCTTCTACACTAATCCGTCTACTACTGATGGTCATGGTGATAAAGATGAAATAATAATGGGTACTTCATCTGTTGGGATGAGGCATTTTTATGTTAAAGATAGTTTTAAATGAAATATTTTCTCAAACTTTTTAGTTGCTACAATTATGTTTAAAAAAAATATTTATTACACCATATTTGCTTCCGAAATATAGTTGCTTGCTTTGCAATAAAAAACAGTACAGCTTTTGTTTTCATGATATTTTAAATTGTTTTTTTTAGCTTGCAGCTTGTAGAAGGATAAAAAAAAAAAATTGGGTATGTTTTTTGAAATTCTTTAGTTTTCCTTTCTTTCTTTTTGGTTGTGTTTTTTTTTCACTGTAGTGATATATATGGCCATTAATTTTGTTCCATTTTTTGTTCCATTGTTTAGCATGCTCATGTGTCCTGGGAAGCTATTATTCTTATCATTCCAAAGGAAGGTAGTGCTTGTGCAGCATGATTATTTTTCTTAATTTTTTTTACCCCTCAGAAGTAAACGGTTTGGCCGCTATCGCAATATAATGCAAAGCATACGTCGAAGGTTCAGTTTGCGTAAGAAAAAGGACCATGCATCAGAAAGTGCAAGGGTGGACCAGTGGGAGGAAGACACCAACAAAGTACGCAATGGAACCTGCAGTTTTCAAGTTCGGGTAAGGAACAAAAAAGACCGTGCATCTGGACAGACTGTAATGTGTGTGAATGTCCTGAAATTTATAATGATATAATGTTGTATTTTGATTAAGATGTTGAGCAAGCCACTCACTGAATTTAACAGTTGCAAGTGTTTGTGTGCAGATCTGAATTTAAACGAAAACTTGGACTGAAATTATTACACAATGGAACTGACCAAAGAAAGACTGAGAGTGGAGGGAGAAAGGATGAAATGGCTGTGTTTGGGTGTTGTTAATGTATTCATAGTATCTCCAGGTTTCAAATTATGAAAAGTGAACCAGACTAGTCTAGGATAAAATACATTCGCTCAAGAACAAATTAGAATTTTCCATCCTGCTGTCAACAGTATTCTTTTTTGTGTGCTGGTTTATTATGTTCCTGTTGACATGTTGAGGTCTGAGGCTAAACATTGGAATTGTACTGTACTCCTAAACATTGGTCTCTTACTAGTTTTGTAGCTGTTATTTGAAGGAGCCTCTGTGGCTTCCCCCCTTTTGACTTAGTTTTAATTGTGCCAAAAGTGTAAAAGTGTGCTCGCTGTGAGTTTACGATTACTTTTCAACTTTATATTAGGATTCCACAAGAACTCTTTGGCCAAAGCTGCTTATTTATATTGAAAATTAAAAAAAAATTAAAAATTTAAAAATGCTTGATAGTCTGAAGATAAAATTATTGAAAATATTATAATACTGTTTTTGTTATTCAGCAGGGTATTTTTGTGTTGCAATAATCATAAAATGAGGATGATACCATTACTGATTATGTTCTGGACTTGAAAATTATAAAAAGAAATGCTTTATTATTATTTAATACAATATAGATAGTATTGTTGTGAGAAAAAGCATTAAAATTGACTTTTTAAAAAAATGTGGGTTGTTCTTGGTCTTTCATAAATAGCCTGTAGGTTACAGATCATAATCAGTGTTGACGGTGTTAATTTTATTTTGAAAATAGTGAAATATTGAACCCTGCTTCTATGCCCTGTAGTAGAAACTCCACAGTAAAAGCTGCTAAAAGCAACCTAGGTCCAAACAATACATAGTGCATGGTCACAAAAATGGAAGGAAAAATGTAAATTAACGACAGAATTGTTTTTATTACCGTGTAGCAGGGGATTTCCTTGGAGTATTTCAGGTGTGTGAAATTATGGAAAAATGTCTTTGAGGGAGATTTTTATGTATGATTTTCTTCCCTCCCTACAGTACCTCGGATACATTGAAGTCTTTGACTCCCGAGGGATGCATATCTGTGAAGAGGCTGTGAAGGCCCTAAAGGCAGTAAGTAATGGTTTCATTTAGCTACGGTCCATGATAAAAAGTGTTCATATGGTACATATATATAATAGTTTGTGCCCTTTTTTATCTTTCTTAGGAAATAGCAGTCTGTAAATATAAATATCTAGCAAATACTGAAGTGTGCGCGCACGCTCACACGAGAAACTCATCTTTTCACTCCAGCTTTTTGTCATTTTACTGTATTCTCACAAATGTATGTTCATTGTATACGTTGTAAAAAGGCTTTTGATCACAAAAATCCCTTGGAAAGTGAATGTTAAGAAGGAAATTCAGTGGTAATTGAAAAGCTTTGACTACATAAATTGTGAAAATTGTGATGGATAGGTCATCTCCTGGGAAGTCGACATCTATTGGTGGTCTTTCTTCTCTTTCAGCAATGCAAGGGCAAGTATCAACGAGCTGTGCTTTATGTATCGGGAGATGCTCTTCGAGTTGTGGATGAAGTCAGCAAGGTAAGATGTTCCGTCACACTCGAGACAGGTAGACCACGCACTCATGAACATGCATACAAGTTGACTCACAAACACACAGGCGTGTGTATGCACACACATAAACACACACACACACACACACACTAGAGCTGGATCCTGCTCGTCAAATCTGAGAGTGACGATTTGAGATTCAGTCGGCTTCAAAGAATCGCGAGTTTGCGAGTGCTGATGGAACACGAATTGAAACAGAACAGTGTCATATCAACGCCACTTCGCGAGCGTTTATTCCCACTCTTGTCTCTCCATCCTTTCCGCCCCCACCCTAGTTGCGCTACTCGGCGATGCGATCCCTTCTGTCCATTGGTTGGAACCCGTTCATTTTGTTTTAATGGGGGGGTTGGACTATACCATCTTTTGTAAAATAAGGGGAGTCATGCTAAGTGTTCCGTTCCGTTCTTCCTGGGTACCAGTTCTAGGCACACAAACAAGCTTACAAACAAGCCGCATAGTGGTGACAACAACAGGTGAGTGAATCGGAAGGTGATACTGTTCCAAGTTCCGCTGAAGTGAATCGCGTTCCGCAGGGAAGAGTGGCAATTCAGTTCCATTCCCACTCTCGCAACTCAGCACTAACACACACACATGCGCACTCACGTGCACACACACACACACACACATGCGCACTCATGTGCACCCACACACACACACACGCGTGCGCGCACACACACACACACACTCACTTCACATACATAGACACACTTCTTACTCTCTTTTTCACACACACAGCCGATTGAGATGGGGCTTCTCTTTATTTTAGTCCTGGCTCCAGCAATTTCAGTGCTTCCACCCTTCCGTATTTTTACGGAAATCCGTACTTTCTGCCAGTTCCGTGCTTGTCCCTCCATCATTATCTACTCCCTCCGTAAAAAAACTGCGACAGTGCAGGACTGCCGAAATTCCGTACTCGCCTTCGTATCGTCTTGTATAAGGTGCGGATATTACGGTAATTCTCTCGGCAACAATCTAACGTTATAGAAACCTGCCAAATTGCGCATTTCCTGCAATCGGACATTATACCGCTATGTCCCAGTCCCATGCATTCATTGCGTGTTGGTCGGCAGTACATTTTTTACCTGCAGATGGATCAAAATCTGGCGAACCTTTTGTGCCAATTTCCTCCTTTCTGTCATTCACTCATTCCTTCCGTCTATCTTCGGATTGTTGCCGCGGCTGGAAAATCTGCGCGTTGATCAAAGACTGATTTTGATCTTAGACAGAAAATTACTGTCGGAAAGATACTTTTTTCGCAAATTTTATCTAGATCTAGAGAAATTATCAATGCGAAGATTCTACGGCACGTGAACGCAATATAAGGGCCGCGATGAAAGAATATGCTGATACGGTCATGCCCACTACGGATGGGATCGGCCGATTGCGCTGATCGCCCGACTCGGTCGAACAACCGTGTTTGCTTTGAAACTGAAAACAAACACGTTTGTTTTTGAGGCGATCGAGTCGGGCGATCGGCCCGATCAGCCGATCCCGTCCATAGTGAGCACCACGTATAAAATCAAGAATAATTCGAAGTGGTGTACCGAGGTTGTGACAGGCGACATTCAGACATGAAAATTTAGAAAAAATGTGGGTATACGCTGCGCAACCGTATTTTGAAGGTACATCTATTCATTATTCCCAGGTTTGCCTGCTGTCAATGGTGCGACTACAAATTAATTGAATTATAGTAGCAATGAAAGGGGAACCTGCTTTTAAACCATAGCTGCCACTTTCCTGCTAAATAGCGGAAACTCCGCTACATCTAGCTTTCCCCGCAACTTTCCTCCTTCCTCCGCTGGACCGCTCTTGGTCGCAAATTTCATACTTTTTTTTCCACGCGGAAAACACCTAACCGGGAGAGACGAAAACGCGGTCTGCGCATGTCCGCCCGTAGCTTTCTACTTCCGTTCTTCTAGGCCCAGCGCTAGTTTCACATTGTTTATTGTTGTGGAGCAACACAGTGTCGATCGGGCATCGGGACGTTAGCGCGCCGAGTTGTCATTGAAATTGGCGGAAATTCGAGAGAAATTGATTCAGAATGCAAAAATAAAAGGAGCTGGAATGAGAAAGAAGCAGCCGGTGTGCGACTTGAAAAGTTCATTAGAAAGTTGAACTAGCTGTTTTTTGCGAAAGAAATCGCGGCCCGCGGCACTCCTGTTACAGTCCTGTACAATTGCGGTCCCGTTTGTTTACATGACGGCTATTGTGGCTGCTGCGGAAGTGAATCTAGATCTAGATTTAGATCTAGAAAATCTATCTCTAGATATAATCTAGATCTACACATATTTAGATACATCTAGATCTAGATTAGATAGCCTAGGCTATAATTTTAATTCAGTTTAGATCTCTAAATAAGAAACACACTACAGGGGCACTAAGTGCAAACGGGACCGCAATTGTACAGGAGTGCCTGTGTATCCTTGATCCGATACTGCTCTACGTCTATGTACACGTTTAAAGTGAAAGAAATCTTTTTATGAGACACCAGCTGGCAAAAACACTAGATTTTTAGTCACCAAGTCCAAACTGTGTCAAATTGACTCGAATGCTTGTTAATCAACTTACTGCCGTTATGTTTGTTTTTTTCCAAATACATTTTAATTCAGTTGCCTATGGTTAACAATATGACAGTTTTCCCTTCCAAAACCGTAGGCTAGATTTTCCAGTATATATTGCCTCTGGATCTCACTGGTATCGGAAAGCGCGCGTACGCTTTCGCGTGAATTTCCTCCTTTTAAAAAATTTCTGAGTGGCAGCTATGTTAAACATTTCCAACATTGGAAAGATATGCTGGCGATGAAGTCAAACAAGACAAAATGTTGGTGAAAAATGAATATTATGGGCTCTAGGCAATATCTTCAAACAGACTCCCAAATGCCAATTTTCTACCCTCTAAAAGCACTAAATTTCTATTTCTTCGGGGGCTTCGCCCCCCGAACCCCCACCGGGACGCTGTCCCTGGACCCTGCTGGGGGCCTCTGCGGCCCACAGACCTCCTGCAGAATTTTCCTTACTTTTCAGCTTCAGCTGGTGGAAGCACTGAATTTGCATGTACGTTGTCCGCTGTCTCACCAGTGGAAAGTGCACCACCTGCTGTAATCTATAATGGGATGCTGCATAAATCTGCCGTGAACTGACAATACGCCCGTTTTTAAAAGCTCACTGCACTTTCAAGATCAAGAGGCTTTTTGTTAACATAACTATTTAAAAACAGCATTTTTTCCTAAATTTGAATTTTAGTTTATTAAAAATCTAGTGACAGTGTCTCTTTGATTTATTCACACAAGTAGGATAACTGATCAGGCTTTTGATTAAGAAAATAAAAAAATTATGGCACCAAAAATGAAAAACCCCCCCCTCCGCTCTGCCAGCTTATTGCTGAAAGGCCATGCCCATGTATAAATGGATAACGTCTTTCCCTAATCTTTTTGATGACTTCCGTCTTGTTTAATGCCTCATGAAATATGATGGCCGTCATAATAATGTATATTGTTTTCACAACTGACGGCTTTTGATAATTATAGATAATCTTCCCGTTTACCTTAATATTTGATTTATTTTTTAATCTTCTTCTTGTCCTTTACTTTCATTTTTTAGTGTATTTTATTTTTTCCAGAGCATGATTGTTGATCAAACTATCGAGAAGGTGTCTTTCTGCGCCCCTGACCGGCATAATGAGAAGGCTTTTGCATACATATGCCGAGACGGGACAACGAGGCGGTGGATGTGCCATGGTTTCCTGGCGGTCAAAGAGTCCGTAAGTGTCAGTATCATTTTCATTCTTATTTTTGATGTGCCATTGTGGTGGTCATCGTGGTGTGTACCAAAGCGTCTGTAACTCTTTTTGCACAAGAAAGGAACTGGAATATGGGCTGTGGGTTTGACAAGTGTTCTGCAAGCTTGTTTTTTTGACCAGTGCACCTTTCTTTGTCACACTGTGTTGGTGTTTGTAATTATTTTGAAACGTGTTTCTATTTGCACACTGTTTCACGTAGTTCCTAACTATTGTGAACATTTAATTCAATTTTTTTTGTTTCGTTGGCTTTTGTTTTTAGAATTAAATTGATCCTTGTTATTGAGCGCAGTGCGGTGGAGCTGCATTTTAAATCCATTTATTGCTTGTTATCCAACTTTTATTTCCTGTTGAGATTCTTGAACTCATATTTCTAGTCTTTTTCATTCTTTAAAAGTCTGTAGCTGGTGTAAAAAGTTTAATTTTTTTTTAGAGGATTAGCTATTTGCAAACTGTATATATACTTATATATATCTAAAGTAGCTAAGTTCAGCAAAATGGAGGATGTTTTTTTATAGCTCTTTTACAAGGCAACTGTAATACCTTAGGGTAGACATTATTGTAGTGCTTCTTGGATGTCTATTAGTGATCTTGGTGTTGTGGTTAATGTCAACTGAAAAAAATTCTCTCCCATACTCTGGAAATTTGTGTCACAATAGGGTGGAATCAGGCACTCGTCAATTTTTGGGCATATGGAATTTTTTGATGACTATAAATCTTGTTTATTCATTTTGTTTTTGATGGGAAAAAATGCCCATATTGAATAGAAGTCAAGATATTCATGATTTAAAGAGGTGGGGTCAGGCGGGGGATCAGAGTAAAATTAATACGAAAATGGCTGCCTAAGTTTGGTGACTTCCGAAGCCTTTGCGTCTTTGGAAAATGCAAGTTTACATTTTTTGTGCATTTGATGTTTTTCAGTAAAATCCACACAGAAATTTGTTTTTAAATGGATATAAAATTTTTTGAGGCTGCGCCCTCCACCTACCCCAGATAAGATAAAGTGCAGAAAAACGTCGTTTTCTTTGATTTTTTATTGTTCTGATTAGCGCCTGATGACACACATTTGTTTCTTTCCTATGTTTGAGGGCTGTTTGTGTTAACTGAGTTGAAAGAGTTAAGGACATTTGTTTTTATTTTGTTCATATTTTATTGTTTGCTTTCAGCTTTTGAAAATTGTTAATTTTTACTCCCATAATTCGTTTAAGTCTTAGCTTTTGCTGCCTTCTGTTCAATAAATAACATTTTTGGAAACAAAACTCAATTCGATCTTTGACTTAAAGTATCAGTAATGCCTTTAACAAAAAATGAAGCTGAATAAATTATTTAATGCAAATATAATATTGTTGGACATGGTAAAAGCGTAAAACACTTAATAGACTTAAAGTAATTAAAATGTTCTACAATTTGATAAAATTTAAAAAAATGTTTCTTTGAATTTTTATTCGTATTTGCTATTACAATTTCTTCTGATCATGTTTAAAAATGATAGGGAAATTGCTTGCTGTAATATTTAAAAGGCTATGAAACCATAAACACTTAAGTATAATGTGGTTTAATGTTTGTCATGCCACTTTTCTTTATTGCATGATCACAGGTACTGGTGTGTCCTGCAATATTTGAATTATAGCTCTGACATATTACTTCTTATTTTCCTGTTGGTGTAAATAGGGGGAACGCCTCAGCCATGCTGTGGGCTGTGCTTTTGCGATCTGTTTGGAGAAAAAACAGAAGCGAGGCAGCGAAACGGGAGTGACAGTGACATACAACCAGTCCAGAACGAGCTTTGAACGTACTGGCTCCTTCAGACAGACCACTCTCACGGAGAGGATAGTGGACCCACAAAGCGCTATTTTGGCTGGTGAGTGCTTCTGTGTTGTTTTATATTGGCTGCTGCTGTCCCCCCCTCCCTCCTCCCAAATCCACACCTCCCCCCTTGTTCTTTGTACTGCAAGGTTATCAAATTTAGGATTTTCAACCTGCTGTGCAACTGATTTTTACTTGTGAGTTACTGAAAGGTACCATAGATTGCTCGGAGATATTTTAATGAAAAGATATATGTGTCACGATGCTGTGGAATCAGGCGTTCGTCAATTTTTGGACATTTAAAGTTATGGGTATTGTCTAAAAGCTTATTCATTTGTTGTTTTTCTGATGAAAAGAATACCCACTTATCTTGAATAGAAGTAGAGATACAGTCGAACCTGCCCTGACGGCCACCCCTATAAGACGGCCACCTGTACAAACGGACACTTTCCATTTCCCCCCTTGCATTTTTGCTATATAATTTAACTGTGTGAAATGGGCACCTGTCCAACACGGCCACGGCCACCATATTTTAACTCACAACCCCTATCACACAAAGCAATAACACTTGTCTTAGACGGCCACCTTAGTGACTCCATTACGCTTTGTCATAAATTGTGCATTAACCCCTGGCGTTGTGGGCGAGCCGTCATAATCCAATCACTTGGCGTTGTTGTTTGGTAGTACCTCCAACCGATCATTTTGCGAAGGCCCCTCCCTCTGTTGACCAATAGGTACCAATTTTCAGCTGTTGGTGAGGTAAGCGTGTGAGCCTTCATAACCCATAAGCCCCGCCCAGAACTCATACACAAATCGTGAAATGAGTGGTCACTGTATACCCAGTCTGTAAGTAACAATGGACGTCAACATGAACTTGCGACAGAAGCGTCGCTCGTTCTCCGAGTGGTGGCGACCCATGTGTTTGTTTTAACATGGCACTCAGTCTTCCTTGTCTGATACATTTAGTTTTATTGTCACCCTTGCGCAAAATCAGCAACAAAATAAAAATAACAAACAAAATACATACCAACAACAACAGCAAAAACAACAACAATGCGGCTACTTTTGATTGGGACTTCAGATGGGAATGGTTTGTTTTCTTCATCTTGATCAGTCCTGCCTAAGACGGCCACCGGTTTTATACGGCCACTTTTCTCCTTGACATGGGATGGCCATCTTACACAGGTTTGACTGTATTTGCGACTGAAGCAGGTGGGGTGTCACCTGGTTTCAGAAGTAAAATTATGGAGAAAATGGTCGCCAAAGTTTGGTGACTTCCGTAGCTGAGGAGTCCCTGGAAACTGCAAATTTACATTTTTGTGTGCTTTAAATCAATGTTTTTCAGTAAAATCTCAAGGGAAATGTGTTTTTAAATGGTTTCTAGTCAAAAACAAAAATTGGATACAAATTACCAAACCGCCTGATTTCACCATTATGCCTCACATATTGTTTTTCAGAACCTGTCCCTGTCAAGTCTGCGAATAACCCCTATGCGGTACAACGACCCCATGCCTCTGCCAATCTCCTGGAGCGGCAAGGCTCTTTCCGTGGCTTTGAGAAGCTCAATGAGATTTCGTCACCTTTCAAACGCACTACATCACTGCGGCTGAATGAGTTGCCATCCACCTTGCAGAGACAGAATGCTGTTTTGGAGTCACCCACACACAATGGCAATGGTGGTGAGTATCAGATATTGGGGTTGCAGGGCATTCAGAACTTCCAATCTTTTGTATTGTTTGGGAATTCCGTACTTTCTGAAACTCCTCCTCCTCCCCCATGCCCCATCAGTGTCAACTCCATCTGCAAAAAAAAAATAGTGGGATGGTGTAGGGCTACCGATATTTTGTAGCAAAGGATCCTTGCTAGCCTCTGTATCGTCTTAGCTAAGTTTGGGGTATTTATGATTATTTTTGGCAATAAGTTGTGTGTCAGAAACCTGTCACATTGCACATTTCCTGCACTTCGCCATTATCTCTCAATGCATTCATTGCAGGTTGACAATGCAAATTTTTTGTGCCAATTTCCTCCTTTCTTTCATTCACTCATTCTTCTGTCTTTGCAGTGGCCAGAAAATCTGTTTGCCGAAAAGAATATTGAATAGTGATTTTAGAAAAACAATAACTATCCAAGAGAAACCTTTAACACATCGGTCTAGATCTAGAGAAAGTGTGAGGATTCTACCAGTGCAGCATAAGACTGCAGTGAAAGAAATTGATGCAAAATTTCAATTTCGCCCCCTGAACCGCCATTAGGTTAACTC